GAACAGTCACTGACTACAATGTCACCTTTGAATTGTACTGTGTTACGTGAGAACACACGTAAAAATACCCATCCTCACGCGTACACGTGAGTATGGTCGATTTCCGGTCCAACTCACGTACGTGAGAATTACGTGGGCATGGTCATTTTTTTGGCATTTTAAATAGCTAGATTTGACAAAATGGCTAACATGCAGGAGACGTCGCCGATGGAAGTTTTCCTTCAAAAAGTTTTAGGACCATGTCCAAGACTTTCTGTGATATTGGACACATTAAGACCTAAGTTGCAATGGAACAGACAAGTTTGGTGGTGATCTAACATCAGAGGTTTCTCTATTTGATGACTACATTACAACTGACTATGAAAAACAGCTTTCATGTAGGAAATTTAATGCGAATGACACATAAATTCTGAGAGAGAACAGAATTTAAAAGGATAATTAAGTATAGTGACAAGCTTGTTTCTAATATCACTGTCATTTTACAGGTATATAATAAATTAGATGCTGTAGGATCAATATTTAATCCAGCAGGAAGAGTACAACAGTGTGATGATGAGGATGATGATCTTGTGAGAACAACCAGAGCCACGTCTTCACCACGTTGGTACAAGGAGATCAACTAGAACTTAGGTTGTACTTATTACTTAGGAAAAAGTATTTCAATTAATTGTTCCTGGGTAAAACACGACAGAATTATGTAACATTGCCCCGAAACAGTGTTTTTATGTTTGTATCATACAGGATTTGCAAGTCATCTAAATGTGGCAAACACCCTGAGAAACAATTTATTGGCTATTTAAATATTAAGTTATTGTGAAATTCATATTTATATTTTTCTCTATGCTTTACAGCTCCATGATCTGTTATACAGACGTACGCACGCAGACGTGCCGTATAGTAATCCCCACAGGAACCGCTGAAATACGGTGCACAAGCGTTACTAGTAACAACAGATTGCAGTGCGGTTTTCGACACGTGCCACCGGCGTGGCTGATAAGTAAAAAAACACCATCACACGCAGCATAGATCGTGGTTCCGATTTCATTTGTTTAATGTACACTACCAACTCTAGTCTCGGTGACTCACGTAACCATGGTTTAACCAAAATAGTAATGCTATCGACTCCAACAGCCCTTTACAATCTATCGCCACGTAGGTGCGATAGAAAATAATATGACGGCATTCTTGAAGAAATTAAACATTACACAGATGTAAAGTCAAATGTATTTTCTGTAAGTACTACAAACTTCAATAATGTGGATAACATTAATTGTTTTCACATAGTTCTCAAATAGCAGACAACTATTAATTCCTAAGCTTTTTGTTTGGAAGCTAAATCACGGTTACTAGAAGAACCGTGGCTAGTAAATAATTTGTAATTACGTAAGTTCTTTCGAAGCTTTCTTTGATTTGTCATTGCTGTTCAGTATAAAGTTTTTTTCTTTATCAAATGATGAATTAAATATATGAAAATGAGAGTGGGTTTTTATCCATATTAGGGCATACTCAATAGGGAACTGAATTACATGTGTCAACTTGAATTACATTGTAAATATTTGATGTTATAATTTCTCTCAATGTGTTTGTGGATATTATGATTTGCCAACTCAAAAGAGGGGAAAGTAGCTGGCTTTGTGTTTCAGTTGGTGTGGAGGGGGGGAGGCTAGCTTGTTTACGGCGTTGTAAACTTTATGTGTGTGTGTGTGTGTGTGTGTGTGTGTGTGTGTGTGTGTGTACTAACTTATTAATTTCTTGTAACATATCTGTGAATTAACAATTACAACACAACACAATACAATATATGTTTTAACTTTATTGATATTCCCCAATCAGTTTTAAATATGTCACACAATGATGTTGTATTGTAATATTTATTAAGGGCGAGGCAGAAGTGAATTATTGAATTATTCAGTTTTGTGGCAAATTTGAATTGTTCAAAAATGATGTTATGATACTATTTTAGTAAATGAATGAAATATGAAGAATGTCAACTGATACCATTCACTTGTTTTTAGTTATTGAATAAATAAAGTCTGCTGATACCATTCATTTGATTTTATTCAATGAATAAAAAATGAAGAATGTCAATTGATACCATTCACTTGTTTTAGTTATTGAATAAATAAAATTTTCTGATACTATTCATTTGATTTTATCCAATGAATGAAAAATGTTAACTGATACTATTTACTTCTTTTTAGTTATTGAATAAATAAAGTCTGCTGATACCATTCATTTGATTTTATTCAATGAATAAAAAATTAAGAATGTCAACTGATACCATTCACTTCTTTTTAGTTATTGAATAAATAAAGTCTGCTGATACTATTCATTTGATTTTAGTCAATGAATAAAAAAATGAAGAAGTCAACTGATACCATTCACTTCTTTTTAGTTATTGAATAAATAAAGTCTGCTGATACCATTCATTTGATTTTATTCAATGAATAAAAAATAAAGAATGTCTGCTGATGCCATTCAATTAATTTTAGTTAATGAATAACAAATGAAGTATGTCTGCTGATGCCGTTCATTTGATTTTAGTATTAGTTAATACTACCATAATATGGTAGTATTTCAGAATTAAATTCTATATTTGGTTAAAATTGTACATCCGTATATTGATTGAGAAGATTAAGTCATTCGTCAACATACATATGCAAATCATGGTTGAGCTATCCACAACTTGTTAATGTTATCATGCTTTCCTGTTCATATTGTAAACATATGTTGCATTTGGGCCAACAGTTTTGACTATATGTTATGCCCAGACCGCATAAAACCACTAATAAATTGATATACGACACTATAAGGTTGGACATATTGTCAATAATGTTCATAAGTAAACAAATACAAAAATAATGTTACCTCGAAAACATTAATCCTATCTATGATTCAGATTTGAATTCTACGTCTTTCTCTTGATGTGTCACATGATTTACATTTGGACTATCCATACACAATTACAATAATTTGTATCTAAAAATACAAAATAGGTAAATTGAGATGTAATATATAATTCATCAAACAAGCAAATATCAGTTATTACTAATCGCATCTTGCAAAGTCCGAAATGAGGGGGAGGGGTCTTTAATTCCTGGCTATAGGTCTACAAATATTTTTTAATATTCTTTGGTTTATTGTTGCAATTACCATTTTTTCAAATATTTCATATATTTGTTTTTTGTCTTCCACATGCTCTCTCATGTTGTTGTATTCCTTGGGTCGTTGGTGTATCACATGTCTCAATTGTATCTTGTCAGGTAAGTGCAATTGACTCTGTAGTTCTTCATGGATGGCGGCACAGTACACTTGATCAATTCTGTAAGAAATGCATATTTAATGTCTAGTGTGTGATTATAAGTCATATATACATATTATTACTCATGTTTCACGTTAAAATATGTTGTTAAGTTGATTGCTTGTAGTGACCAAAGATTTATTGGGTTATTGGTAACAGGTTACTGGTGAATGAAAAAAACGCAACAAGGGGATGAATCTGTCACCATGGCATCATCTCACCATCATCATCTGTTTACGCATTCCACCATGAAATCTAATTTTAAATATATAGTACGTATATACCACATGGGTACAATTCGAGAAAGCCACGAAATTGATTCACTGTAAAATTACTAATTTTCAATGGGTTTAAATTTCGCTATTTACCATTTCAGGCATATTCAGTGGGTTTTAAATTCACGGTTTTATCATTTAGATAGTGTTTTATACTAAATTTTACATATTCACTGGGTTTTAATTCAGCGCATTTTGCAGTCAGCGAAATAAGCAAAACTAAAACCAAGTGAATAATTAACCCTTTTACAGTACCCACAGATAGTGTTCCATTCGCGTTCACTGATGCAAATACCATGGTTACTCAGGTCCCACCTGACGTTCACGTGATAAGGAACTGTCCATTTAACATTTCCGGGAGAATAGAAAAAACAACAAATCGCTTAACATTGTGTAATAATTCTTCTCTGAAATTAAGAACTCCTCATTTGCATGCGAGAATACTCATTATTTGTTTAATTATTTGTTGTTATGTCCCACTCGTTGCCATTTGTTTTGTATGGTATCTATGCTCGTTATTCAGGAATACAACGACTGATTCTGATGGAACTCATCTGCATTGCTTTTTTAAAAGGCCATGAGCTGCAAATTGTATGTTTATTAAATTCAGCTATTTCTGGCTATAAATATACTGGCAGAAAGGCAAAACTTTTTTAATAGTACCAAAACACAATAGTCACAATAAATGAATGCATTGTTCAACAAGATTGCTCATATTTTTTTTTCTGTAATTGAAATGTGCAGAAACCTATGAACATGTACATTTAGCAAAATAATTTAGCTGCATATTAGTTAGTTTCTGTTACGAGGATGATAATTTATCATTATAGCCCCTTATCAAATTTAAAACAGGTATTCGTTGCTAATCGCAAAAACTTTAATTTAAATTATGAATTAAAGTGAACAATTTTGAGGGGGTCAAACTTTAATTCGGACCAAATAGTGGCGGGCACAACCAAAAATGCAAAACTGAAAAATAAGTATCCATACCCCAGGTAACATTTTTAATGGACTGACCCTAAAGAGTTCTAATTGCTTGATTAGTTTTCCAGTCATGCGAATAGTAATGCGTTTATTTTATCATATACAGAATGCATGCATTATATGATAGAAGCGTGTGTTGGAGGTTTTCATGATGAAGACAGCCTACTTGTGTCTTGCCTTCATGGCTCTCGCAAGTCGTCAAATGGAGGTCTTTGCTATGTACGAAATGAAGTACACGCCACCCAACTATCCGTCTGAAAACAAGACTTTAGTTGGGTTTCTTATCAGAAGCTTTGACTATTCCCATCATGTCACGGTATGCGGAAAAGCGTGTCTCAATGACGGGAAATGCAAGTCATTCAACTATAAGGAAGAAACTACAACCTGCGAGCTGAACAAAGCATCGCATTTAGATAGCGAGTCTGCCCTCGAAGACAGCGACGGTTATATATATTTGATGCGAGACGCATTTTTTCTACCAGCGGTGAGTTTATTTTTTGCATTTTGATATATGAGCGTTGAGCACCTGTGGTCTTCTCTTCCAGTATCTTCTATGTGTTTCTCTCCAAATCAGTCACGGATCCCGAAAGGTGTTTTTTTTTTTTTTAGTGTTGAAAAAAAGTATTTATTCAGCGTCCGTGGATAATATAATACGCGTTTTTTCAAGCAGAAACACCTCGTTATCTTTGATGAGGACATCAAACTAAATCATTCAGGCTCAAATAATCGTGGAAGTATACTTTTTCGCGTGTTGTTTGGGAACTGTTTGTACTGGCTGCACTCCCACTCGGATGTTTTGTATTGCGTTATACCTTGCATAACAGTCAATCGCCCAGTAAACGCACTCACTGTACCGGTCCAGTCGCAGTGTTGGGACATAATCTCGAGGCATCATTTATTATTCCAAGAAGTATCTTTTAAACATCTCATTACCGAGGACAGATATCGTTGTTGTAATGCTGGACCATCCGCCCGATTAGCGAGGCATTTCGAATTCCGTCTGAGAAAACTTTTTCTGGCATATTTTTCAGAGAATACAATCGTCTGTTTCATTCACCAGACACTGAAATCTTGGAACCGACAAACTTCATCCATAACACGTGACATCTTCGATGACTACAATCCAATCGTCTATGCGTGTACAAGTATTCAATAAGCAGAATTCTACACATATCAGCCGCGTAGTGTTTGTCCGATAAATTAGTGTAGTTTTTGTACAATATTAGCAGAATTCACCCTGAGTGTGTAACCCTGTTTTCCAGATGTTGGATTACTGGCACCATCCAACAAGGACGAATAATTATATTATTACCCCAATAACATTTAATGGACACGTTTATTAAAAACAGCTTAATTGTTAAAAGTTTAATTGAAGAATAATTATTGTCGTGTTTTTGTTTTCATAATTCATTGTCCATGTATTTCATGGGCACGAAATGTTTTTTTCTTTAATCTAACTAATAGCTATTATTCACAATTACTACTACATGTACTTAATTACTGGCACCATCCAACAAGGTCGAATACTTCTTTTATTACCTCAATGACAATTAATGGACACGTTTATTAAAAACAGCTTGAATTTAAGTATAATTGAAGAATAATTATTGTCGTGTTTTTGTTTTCATAATTCATTGTCCATGTATTTCATGGGCACGAAATGTTTTTTCTTTTTAATTTAACTAATGGGTGTTATTCACAAGTTTAATCGTTTAATGGTTTTAAACTAATTACTTATTCGTTCAGAGACAACGCATACAGTTCTGAAGGAAACATCTCACGATTGGGCAAATGCCCATAGTTCCGCTCTATTAACATGAGCTGTTGTGACGACGTTGTCCCTGAAGTGTGTATGTGGCAAATATATGGCGGATTCGGGGAAAAAATATGAAAACGTTGTCTTTTGTTTCTTCGACAGGAAGCGTTAGGCGCATGTGCCAGTGACCCTTGTGGAAATGGTACATGCCAAGAAACATGTGATGGCAAGTTTTTATGTGTCTGTGAATATGGGGTATGGACTGGAGATATTTGTGAAACACCGGGTAATTATTGTCATGTTTGTTGTTGTTTTTGGAAATTATTTTGAAATGTTACGGAATCACGTCCCGTTTAAGATTCTTTGAAATAAAATACATATAATTATATTTGTAAATACATGATTAGACTACATGAAATATAATAATAATACATTTGTTTGGAAACTTACCGAAAACACGTTACGAATCCCGAACCTAATATACAAAATTCAAAATGGCGACACTATACTATGGACTACTACTTATTAACATTCTACACTATTAAAACATTATCGAAATTCAGGATAATTTGTCCAAATGACTGGGAAAAGAACTCGAATCATTATGGAGCAATGTGCACACATAAATTTATTGAGCTGAGAACATTTTACCCATTTCACATGTATACACAAGTTATATGGAATGTATTGACATTTTTGTTATCTTCAGTGGTACATGGCGGATGGGGTGACTGGGGGCTATGGGAAGGTTGTTCAGTATCGTGTGGAACTGGTGTTCATTACCGGTTCAGACAGTGTAACAATCCAACGCCATCAGAATATGGTGGACGTGCTTGCAAGCACGAAAATAACGTTATGAATGTAGACGCCGAAAAATGCAATACTACACCATGTCCACGTGAGTGTCATCTGATGCATGCATGCATGTGGAGGGTGGGTAGGCATGTGTTTAGAAAACAGAACGTCATACCCAAACGATATTGAAATTCGCAGTTTTAATTCGAAATTCAAAGACACAAAACTAATAATCCACATGTAAAAATGAATCGCACAAACAATAAAGTAAACGGTCATATCAGTGATACGATGATTTCCGGGCATACAGCTAAAACATCGTGCCAGGTGTTTCGAAAAGAGTGCATTGACACAACCTTTTCAAGGAGTATCCTTGCATCACTTATCTATTTCAATCATAATTAAATACTAGTAGTTCTTGCCACACAAATTAGAGGACTGTGTAAGGCAAGTGGCATTGCCTTCATTTGAGACCATCTTTGGTACGATGACTTTTGTGAAATATTTATATACCTAACCTATTTATAAAGCTAACTCAGATTTCTGACTTTTTTTTCTGACAGAATGGGCGATGTGGGAACCTTGGAGTATCTGTCAGCCGGGCCATACATCATGTGGACTGGGAACACGTAGTCGTATGCGTTCCTGCATGTATGACGGAACTCCAGATGTAGACCCCGGATGCACAGGATCCACAACGGAAACAGGTGTTCCGTGCATGTCACGTGATTGTGATGGTTAGTGTGTTTATTGGGGTTCATCATGTATGTTAGTTTGTTAAATATGTACGAGATATAGTTTGGAAATTATTTCCTAACCTGTTGAAGATGGCATGTTCTGCTTAAGGGGTGGTTGTTGTCCTACAGCGCGTGTTCGAATTTCGTGGTAGCAACCAATGTATTTTTACACGCGTTGTATACGTCGCTATGGGACCCATATCGAACACGCTATGCCGTGTCGATCGCCGTCCTTTAATCACGGTATAACGCACATACATTGATTTCAGTTCCATTAAAGCTGACTGGATCGTCCACATACGGCGAAGGAATCCTGGAGATATATGACAATATTAGAGATGAATGGGGCACCATATGCGATACGGATTTCTCATCACATGATGCAAATATTGCCTGTCGACAAATGGGCTTCTCCGGATCAGCCGTGGGTACGTATAGTATCTTTTTCATTTTGTCCGAGTTTATGTTTAGTAAATAAATGTATTTATAAAAATACCACTCACATATTTACACGTACTGTTCAATTACGACAATTCTGATATAACTAATGAGTGTATTTATATTTTTAGGTACCCCTACAATTACACCCATTTCCGATACGTCATATCCAATATTACTGAGTAACGTCGAGTGTACGGGAAGCGAGGTCACCTTGACGACTTGCACCCACAACGGATGGAGGGAAGTGACAGGTTGTAGCCATGACGACGATGTGGCCTTGAAATGCGCAGGTAAACGTGGTTTTTTGAGTGTGTCTTCATAAACTCTTTTAAATATTCAAAGATTTAATGAGACATAGTTACAGCGCGTTGAATTTTGTGTAAGTAAACGATGTTTTACGCGCGTTCTGTGCGTCGCATGGGACCCATATTGAACACGACATTGTGAAAATTGTGTTTGTTTGATCGTATAAAAGATTGTTCAATATATCGATTTGGTTTTGTTATAGTTGACGCGAGATGGGGCAAGTGGTCGCCGTGGTCTCTTTGTTCACTTACATGCGGAGCTGGTGTACAAACCCGTACTCGTGTATGCGATCCCCGTAGTGGTGGCACCTGTATCGGTGTTGCTGATGATACGTTGGAATGTGAAGTAGACACGTGTAACCCAGGTAACAAATTATACTTAATCATGTGAACGTCGAGGTAAATACATTCGACCATTTGCAAATTAATTTATATCTCAGTTTCAATTCAATTGAGTTCTGAAATGGCTCATAAATTTGCACACAAAAAAAATATCGAAATAATATCAAATAATGATGTTTCGAACCCATTTTTCCCACAAGTGGCACCCTACATATTATAATTTGTAGTCATAATGGTTTCTGCTGTGGGTAAAAAAAATCGCATTTAGTAATTGTGACTTCTACCAAAAGTAGACAACTTTGTATGCAGAATAGGTATATGAATTATTGTTAATGTATTACCATTTCAATCCCACAGCAAAAACGTGCGATAATACGTGCCAACAAGTTTTGAAGCTAATATTCCGATTCTGGAGGTGTTGTGGCGGATGTTGGTCATATATATTTTTCAGAATGTTTTGTATATAACTGGTCCACGCGTAAAACCGGAATTGGAATGATTATTAATCGTTTATACTGATTTTAATTGCATGGATTTTAAATAAATAAATAAAAAAGCATTCAATGAGAAAACAAACTCATATGACGTCTACAGATGCTTACCTATCAACCTCATCCTTCTGCAAATAAAACATCCAATTAATTCAATTCAAACGACTCATCCAAATAATAAACAAAATATTTGAATATTAATCCAGGACTGATTTAGGTATGGGCACGTTGACATCGATTGTTTATGGATCTTTATTCAGAGTTGAAACATACACATCACAATACACTGTTCACTAAATGTATACCATAACTAAATTCTACATTGTGCTATTTTTCTATATAAATGTTTCATATGTTAATAATTGTCTTTTTTTTTATTCCAGAGATCTAGCTGTTGATTACTGTGAAATCAACTGAATCGACTAAGCCGAACAAAGAATGTCTATAATGCGGATTTGGAAAAAAACAACAATTATTAAAATCATATGTTAATTATTATCACCTATGCCAGTATGACTAAACACAGACCGACTGTGAGAGGAAAAAAACATACGTTGAATAATGAACAGTAATTTCAACTCTACAGAGTATGCATATTTCGTGGATATATTGTTGGTTTTAGAATTATATTTACTTGTTCAATGTCCTGTGCAATGATAATCGATCACGTACACCATTTACACGTCAGTTGTGAACATCTCTTACGTGATGATGTATATTTTGCTTATATTTGTTTTTGAAAGTGTATTTGTACCTATACAGTTGTATCAGCACAATTGTTGTATCACAATTTCGACGTAATTATTTACAATACATGTTTCAGCAAGAAATGCAAATCGGAGAAATCATGTAGGGCTCATACCACTAATTGAATTTCCATAGACAACAATGTTAAATATTTAAACAATTTCATTGGTTCTTGCAAGGCATTTAAATTGAGCAGCAGCAGCCATTGGTTGATTAGTGACATTAGACCTGTAGGAATCTTTACGTATCTCACTATAACTGCAGGCATTTTGGGGATTGCTCCTAAATGCTCATTATATAGACCAATATATAGATTTATTTGACAGACAGAATATTCAGATTACATTTCCGTTTTTTATATAAAGTCGAATATGATCAGTGTTGTCTAAAGAAAGCGTATGTACACCAAATACAGCTAGCAGCTAGTGCAACTAGCCCTATTGTTTATTTGTCACTCCAATTACTTACATTATTGTTTAAGTTAAATATTTGTCGAAGTGGGTTTAACACTGCCATATAGTTGAGCGCTGGAATTAAAAATAATTAGTATCACCAACCACGTTGAAGCACAGCTGCTCTGGTCCTGGGGAGAAAGGATGGTTAGTGTTAGTAATTAAAGTAACTGGAGAGCTAGCTGGAAGCAGCCAAAATGACATCACTTCAATTACTATAACCATCGTTTAAGTTAGATATTTTTCTAAATTATACAAAATGGAATCTGGTCAGAATTGAAGAAGCAAAGCTGCAGACACCACAATTGCCCCAAGCCTAATCCCAATTAAGACACTGCGTGAATTCAATGGCAACACTTAATACACACTGTATAGGCATGAAATATGTTATTCTACAGAAATGCCTGCCTGATTTATTTGATGATTCTTTTTACTTTTCGCCAATAAAAGGCAAGTAACAAGCAATTGGACCAATAAGTTGTTGCTGGTTCTCCTTAGCTAATTCAGGAATGATGAGAAAACTTGTTTTGACTATCCCATTGCGTGATTACCGCATTGCTTGTGACAATCACTTCACGCATCCATTCATTGTTTTTTGTTTGTTTATTCAGCCAGTTTTTCCCCAGACATCAAATCAATTGTCCTAGTTGTCACCTATGCCACTATCTGTCTCTTAGTTCTTTGTTTTATCGCCTGTCAATTAATAAGAGGTCTCTCAATAACGTCGTCGGGACATCTTCTGGGACTGTGAAACAGCCTGTCACCGAAAACAAAGGAGGGTGTTGAAGATAAATAGATGGGCGCTACAAATTGAAGAGGGGCGCAAATAAATTAAAGAGAGGCGCTTAAACTCCTCGTGGAGAACACTGAATACTCAACTAACAATACAATGTATTTGATCGGGACGGGAAATGTGAATGCAGGGCGCTTGTTTACCGATGCAGGGTGCACGACTACCTATGCAGGGCGCTGCGCCCTGCTAAAACCCCTCGTGGAGAACACTGAGGATATAGCACTCTATATTTACAATACAGAAATTTCAACTCAGTTATGCTAAGGGCCCTAGGCTAAAGGCAAGCTACCTAGTGTGTCCTAGTGAATCTCTAAGCCTAACTTCACAACAGAAAATCCAGTAGCAAGTCATTGTTTATGTGAGTTTGTCACCCTCAATAAATTATTGGAAGTCTGTGATAACCAGTGCTGTAAGGAGAGAGGACCCGGAGGTTTAACCGTGGGAAAAATAGAGAAGGCGGTGATTAGTATATACGGTGCCTGAAAACTGCTACCAGTGAAGGATGTAACTCGCTACATCTTCTGCCTGAAGCTAAAGTGACCGGAAATTTGTCTTCTTTGATCAATAGGCAAGTTACACGACAGATTGTACCTCATAAGGATATTGCTAAAGAAACTCCAACACTAATGAGAATGACCAACATGGTGTAACCAACCACAATGGCACTGGGCACATGCAAGACAGTTTCTTGGGCAGTGCTTTAATGCCATCATCCATGGCAATGTTTCTACTGATAGACAGCATGGTGCTGACTGAAGACGTAATGTTTTCCATCGTGGATGCGGCCTTCTTATCCATATTCACTTCACGGTAAAGGAAGTCTACCAGTTGAGACATAGAGTGATAGAAAGGACCTGTAGGTTTTTGTGGACACCAAGAACAGTAATACTGCCAGTAGTTTTGATATACACGAATAATGCTATAGCCTGTACATGTATAAGTGGAACAGCTCCGGCAACAAAGGCTTGTTGAGCGAGGGGAACTTCTTAGTTGGTCTATTAGTAGTGATGGTGAAATGGGGTGTTCACACTTGACTTGGCCAAAACGGCAGTATCAGTGTCATTTTGTGTGTTTTTTGATAGAGCCAATATTAGCATTATATGGTCCAAGCTGATGATCATGTCTTTTACTTTTTTTGGTGGTCGACTGATGATTCCGGCTAAAATTTGAACAGTTATGTGCCAATCTGAGGAGAAATCTGCCACTTCATGCTCACAAATTTGGTGCAAGTCTGTCGGCTATGGTGTTGTGGGTGTGTTTGCACTCTAAGATAATGTTGTGCATTTTACACAAGTTGAATTTCCACTGTCAAAACCTCATTCCCCTTCCTTGTTGAGACAATGCCACACACCTCACTAATGCCTTCAATATAGGGCAGAATGGTTAAGAAGGCCAGCTGCACTATCTTCAACTTATTCCAGTTGATATGTCTGGCTAACAGAGCAGTATTTCTTGGATCTGAAGATCCATCGTGTGTGATCCTTAGCCATCCCCTGAGGCATCTGACAAAATGGACACTGTCGGTAGGGCATGTATTATACAGATATACCAAGATATCAAGCATGTGATATTGAACTACTACTGCCTTTCTGACTTCGAACAGGTCGGCAAGACAGAGTGCAAGATTTTCAGACCTGGACGGATTCTGCACAACCCTTGCTCAGAAAACGTTCGGAATCTTGGGGGCATGCACAGAATCCATGTAAAACTGAAAGGAACCCAAGCCAGAGGTCAAGCACCCTATGACGGATGCAGACTCATGCCAGAACCTTCCCGCATGTTGAGAACACTGGGTATTATGTACACGCAGATGATTGTGGCAAGACATTGTAGGACCCCTGTCTGGACTTAGTAGACTGAGACTTATTACTCGCCTTACCTCACTTGTGATTATATTACGCTCAGAAACCTTCTTAGGCTGACACCTCTTGGCAGTTTGGGAGTAGAAATCTGGCATATTCATGTTGTCTTTTTGCGTTTTTTGTTGTTTTTGTCATTTTCCACCATCAAATAACCGTGTGTGCCAGATATGTTTGACATCAAAAGTAGGACATAAACAGTGTTTTCAAAAACGGGTTACAACACGATAATCTCTCATGCAAGTAAACGATAACACAATGTCAAAACAGGTTTACACCACAATACATAAAAAGCGCAATACATTTTTCAGTTAAGTAAACGCACAGCAAATGCAGTTTATTACAGTTTATACAACATCTTTTTAAAAATAAGGTTACATAAACCAAAGAAAGCGGTGCGCTATGGTGGTTGCGGTCTTGTTGCTTGCAGACGATAAGGTACCGTAATAGAACCTGACGAATCAAGAAACGTCGCACGGAAAACTCAGATTTCCTCGGATGTTTGCAGCAGTTGCTAGTTCCTGTATTCGCTTTTGTCGTGCGGTTGCCATTGCTGACAAATTTGCAGCCCGAGCCCCGCTTTCGGTCCCATGCAATGACACGACACCAATTTCCGACGCAGAGTTCTATTTATGATTCCCGTTTTCGGATGGCAACTAATTAAAATGACAATCATATCTTGTTGACGTCCGTTTTTAATTTAACTACGATAATTGATCATGCTATTATTTGAAAGCATGATGACGAACTTCATGTTGTATTCGGTTTGTGTGATGAGGTGCGCTCTGTAATTCGTGTTTATATACTAGTATTCGTAAAATGTTCAACATCTTGCGTGTTCAACAAAGCATACATTGTGAATTGTATATATCCTGCACGTTGTTTATGACGTCAGAGATTCGAAGTGCGAATCTAATTTACTAAAAAGACGTATTTACTGCACGCAATTCCACATATTTTTGGGACAGTGCGTTGCAGTGTAACGGTAAAGCGTATTCTTACAGTGGCGATGCACATTTCTCATATCGTGAGTTCGAATCTCGCTTGTAGCTTATTTATATGTACATAATATGCCTGTAAGTAATGTTACCTGGTTTAATCAAGTGTAAATGTCTGTTAATTCAACTCAGAAGTCTTCGAAACTTTATATGTGTCAACATACTGGATTGCACAAATCCATCACCATGAGTACAATACATTCAGTTTCACACAAACATCCCATGACAATATTTTTATTATACGCTCAGAATAACAAATTCACACACTGTAATGGGAAAAGAGAGCACATAATAATTATTATACAATCTTCGGGATTTCAAAATTATTGCGTATAATTAGGTAAATAATAAATTAGCTTTATACATGACATTTTATTATTATAGCGAACTAATGTAAATTTATAATAAATTAGCTTACTGAAGATAAATTGCAATTCTTCACTGGAATGGAAGTCTCTGTTGGAATTTAAGTAGACAGCGATGATAAATATTGTGTTTTTATTTTTAATGCAAAATGATTACAACGTAACACCACATTAAGTATGGAAATAACATTTGTTATTCTTTACGGACTGGATATGGCTTTTGCGGCCCGAGGTCGTGCAGCAGAAGCGCTCGAGATTGCGAGGTTTTGTGTAATTACAATTTTACCACGGCGTGACCTCAAACAGACACGTTTTGTTTATTTATTTTATCACCCAATGTAATAATAAAAATGTTAATTGAAACTAGAATATTTATATAACTTCTCATTCGAAAACTTTGTGCCTTGCTAGAAAAGTCCAAACATATACAAGAATAATTAGGTACAGAATGGGAGTATAATTTCTAGTCGTTGAGCAGTGTATTACTATATATATATATTTGCTTGAGACAATGTAACATTACACTTTTTTTACCTTCTGTTTAGTGATTTCCACTCATCTGTCCTATAGCGTCTTTCGTTCATTACTTTAGCGTAGGGTTTCTTCAGCCATGAAAACATGGATGATACAATGATGACCATGACTGTAAAGCGTGCAACGAAAATAGTATAGGATGCATATATATATAGATTGCGCAAACATAGGTAATATCGGGAGTAAACAATGTACGTTGACAACATTCTCACTGTTATTATAATCCGAATGTCGATTTTACTAAACAGTAAACTTTGATAGACAATAGAAAGGTAAATTTTAGTAAGTGAGTGATGCAACGCCTCGAAAGCACGTTGTCCGGGCAACATCCATGAGAATTTTCCGGTGGTACTCACCATGCCACAGTTCCGGAACTACTGTAAACTTGTTAATTATTCCAAGAATTTCAATTCACATACAAATGACAGTCGATATCTAGTTAAGAGCGAGAAAACCACGGTACTTGTTTTTGCATAGCATTCCATTTTGTGCCGTCACCATGCTCACCATTCTCAAGACCCTGGTATGTTGAGCAGTGGATGCGATGCCGGAAGAGAATAGAACCCGAGTTCGCTGATGAGTGAGAAAACCCGCTAAATATAATCCACATAATTATTAGCATATAAATGAACAGAAGGCAATATTTCAATGTGAAATCTGTTACTCAAAAACGGTTATGTATAGTTCATTTATTCACAAGTAATCCTATTTTTATGATGTCCCCTGTCTAACAGTGAACTTTCACATCGCATCTCAAAGAATGGTTTAATGGCGAAATTAACGATAATCGCCATTACCGATGTGTATAACAAGCAGGTCATATAGAAAATACCGTTGTTTCCAAACTGTTTGACATAATATTACTCTAAACGACTCTCCGAAACTCAAAACAGTTCAATGTGACCTGGATTCCACTCAGCCCAAGAACAATAAGAGATTTAACTTGTTTAATTTACGCGTAATTTATGTGAGAGTAACGGGAAGTTGATTTAGTGATGAATTTGTGATAAATTTCTGAGCAATTATTTGTGGAAAAACAAGTGAAGAACGTGTGTAGTAGATCTGTTTATGTAGTACACATACCATGGCAGAAATAACTAGTTCTGTTTGTTGGTTTGTTTAATAATGTGTTGTGTACTCAGAGATATAACCCCTTTCCTTTCGATATGAATCGGGTATGTTGTTGTTTCTAACTTTATTACCGGATATGTGAATACAAGTGGTTTAAGTCAATATAAACAATGTTTTTTTTGTTTTATTTTGGTGTTATGTACGAATTTCACTGCTGGTGACGTGACTGAATAGCTTGTCCGCCATGATACGTGTCACGAACAACCGTGACAGAATAAAATGTTTACTCTTTCTTTATGTAAGTCTGTATTGCTATTGGTATAATTTGTATACGTAATATGCTCTATTAGGCGCAAACGAGATCTCGTTGAGAGTGAGTAAGCTACGAGACTTGGTTCTGTTCCTCAAACAATACTATTTCTTCTGCGTCGCCATGACGAGACAGAATGGAAAACAAATTGCAAAACAAAAAGTCGTCCTCGTTCGCAAAAAAACGTCCGGTGGGCATTGACGTCTATTTTCATGTTGTCTCGAATGTTTCTAATTAATTAATTACCTAATGACAAACCGACTCAAGCATATCTGAAAAAAAGATATATTTTCAGTAATTAAAATATATTACCTTGAGAGGGTCGATGACCAATGCAGACGTCATCTGTGACGTTAACCATTGGCGGGAAACATCCGGGCCCCATTGCAGACTATACAAGACAACAGCAAATTATGACAAAAACATTGCGCAAAACACGATAAACCATGCAATTCCAAGCAAAACCATGGTAACGGATGGTCACTTTTGGGCATTTCTTTATCTCCATCATATGTACAGTTCTTCCGTCACAATGGCCTGGATTTTTGAAAGAGTTGCATGATAATAATCGATGGTGGCATTGTTATCAATGCGCTGATCAACCCATGTATAGTGTTCCAGAGATAAACGCAGAGATCCGATATAAATTGATTTGGTATCGCGCACAGCGTCTGCTGTGTCATAAAACATAGCATTGGCAATCACATCTAAGTAAAATGCTACTGCACAGCAAGACGATCGCCGAACTCGTGTGTTTATTCGGAAAAGCCCAGAATTACGGTCTGGTCTACGCCCCCCCCCCCATAGTTACAGTATGTAAATCCGTTATTATGACGTATTTTAAAAATATACTGCCTCAGGCTGTTTGTGTATCCCTGAATGTATAATTGTACTTATAGAGATTGAATTGTGTGATCCAATATGTTGAAACATAGAATTTACAGGAGAAGTGTGAGCTTCTGAGTTGGGTCAACCGTCTTTTGTACTTGAATTAACTCGCTAACAGTGCTTGCAACAACGCAATCTTACGTTTTTAAATATTAATTATAGAATCGGTAACTAATGTTACACTTATTTGTGATAATTTTTGTGACACCAAGCAATAACAATTTTAACAATATATGTTTTGTTGAACATACAAGGTATCGAATATAACTTATAAGCATTTTATGAATATATAAACATATATAAACACACGACATTCGAATGACAGAGCGCACCTCACTGTACTACACAAACCTAGAACATGAAGTTTGTTGTTTATTTGTAATGACCAACAAACAAATCCGCTAACTTATGAACTATGTATTTTATGTATGTATGTATGTTCGTCCGCCTGTCCATCAAAACCACCAATCAACTGAATGACTGACTGACTAACTGACTTACTGAGTGAATGAATATGCATGCAATGTTCGTATTTTCCAGTAGGAGAAATCAGATGAGTGTGAAACAAAGATAAATGACAGAAAAATTGACTTTATGTATCCAGGTTTAATTTTGTCTGCTACAAGTGGTTCACCGTTGATAGGAAAGACGAAAATGTTGAAGCAGTGTCAAATGTTCTCTTTCGTACATATCTGTTGGAATAATTCTCGGGATGAAATGACTGATGACTATTTGTGAGGATCCATGTTTGCCCGCCCGGTGCCTACAAGGACGGACTGGAACCAACAAATGGCCCTGGACTTA